TCCTGGTCATGGATACAGGGTTTGGCTTGTAGTGTTGAACTGGTGATTTAGGCAGACTGGATTACATGATCATTACCAAGGGAGGGAACAAAGGGGTTGCCAGGGAGACTGGACATAGAGATGGAGTGAGAAAATGTAGGAATACATTTATCAGATAAAAATGTGAGGCTGACAGGCTCTGAACAGTCATTGGAACACTTCTGACACAGGGGGGAGTAAGCCCCTAGCCCCTGGCTGGTTGCTGCTTGCACATCATCCACACAGATGTGATAGCAGATCAAGCACCCGGATCGATCCGGGAAAGGGCTATTCAAGCCACTCTGTCCTGGTCAGGCACACACTGAATAGGCTTTTCCATTGGAAACCCCCGCCCCCCCCCGCCGCATTTCACAGGGAGTGCTGAGAAGCCAGTGCGCACCCAGAGAAAGAGGGGCAGGAGAACAGGCCTGTCCTCCGAAGCCATGGATGTTTGGGTGGAGGCACAAAAGCCTGGCAGATGGCTCACACTTTTGCTGCCTTACAGGGGCCTGTGGTGCCAGACAAGCCAACAGACTGTGTAGATGTGTAGCGGTTGAGGTGATGGGGAGCCAGACCCAGGGATGCCTTGTTCCCGGTGACATAGAGTCAGTTCTCTGTCTATGAGTTCTGCATCTGTGGATTCAAGTCACCTCGGTCAAAAATGTTAAAAACATGTATCTATCTACACTGAACACATATGACTGTTTTTCTCGATATTCTAATCTAGGGCTTCTTTAGTTTTTCCATTTATTACTGTTTTAGTTTTTTTCAGACAGGGTCTCCTTGTAGCCCCAGCTGGCCTACAGCTCATATGTAGACCAGGCTGGTCTTGATCTCACAGAGATCTGCCTGCTTCTGCCTCTCAAGTGCTGGGATTAAAGGCATGAGCTATCATGCCTGGCTTTCATGACCTTCCCCCTCTTTTTGCCTGAGACATCTTTATTCAACCCTGGGTATATAAAACAGGCATACAAATCAAACAGTTCCTGATAACAAACCATAAATAAATTTATTTTAAAGCAATCTTTGAGTGTAAAATTTTACCATTCATTAAAAATGAAAGCAAATTTGTACACGAAAGAGATGGATGTGCTTTTTTACCCACTTGATCCAACCTGGAGGTAGACTAATCTGACACACACTGTCCTGGTTTCACTTCTGTTGCTGTGATAAAATCCTCTGCCAAAAAGCAACTCAAGGGGCTGGAGAGATGGCTCAGCAGTTAAGAACACTGGTTGTTCTTGCAGAAGACCCAGGTTTGAATCCCAGCACCCACATGGCAGCTAACAGCTGTCAGTAACTCCAATTCCAGGGGATCCGACAGCCTATTCTGTCTTCTGCGGGCATTGCACGACATGGGTGCACTTACCTACATGCAGGCAATACACACATACACATTAAATAAATAAATAAAATATTTTTAAAAAAGCAACTCAAGGGAGAAAGGGTTTATTTTAGGCCTCAACTCCAGGTTACAGCCCTTCATCACAGGAAAGAAGGTGGCAGAACTTAAAACAGCCGGTACAGCACACCCACAGGCACAAGCGGAGAGAAATGAGTGCATGCAGGTTTCTAGTACTTAGCTGGCTTTCTCCATTCCTATCCAGTCCAGGACCTAAACCAAGGCAATACTGCCCCTCACTAGTGAGCATGGTATTTCCTTATCAATCAACGTAATCAAGGCAACCCCCCATGTCCTAGTTTGTTTCTCCATTGCTGTGACAAAACACTTTAACACTACCAACTTGGAGAGGAAAGCATTTATTTAACTTACATCTCCTGGGTCATGGGTCATTACTGAGGGAGCCCAAGGTAGGAACTCAGGGAAGGAACCTGGAGACAGGAGCTGGAGCACAGGCCAAGGAGGAACACTGCTTACTGGCTTGCTCCCCTGGCCCCTGCTCAGCCTGCTTTCTTATACAACACAGGCCCACCTTCCCAGGGGTGGTACCACCCACAGGGGGCTGGGCCCTCCCACATCACACAACAATCAAGAAAATGTCCCATAGACATTGCCATAGGCCAATCCAGTAAAGGAAATTCCCCCGTTGAGGCTCCTCTACCCAGGTGTGTCAAGTTGACACTAAAGCGGTCCAGCACAGTAACCATCATAAGTGCTGAGGAGTGGTGATAGAAAAATAGAGTCTTTGTTTTCCATGATTAAACCACTATGCTTCTGTAAGAGCTTAAAACTTTGTATATAGAGCTAAAAAAAAAAAAAAAAAGAAAAACAGTGTAATGCATAACACACAGTAGCGTGGAACCTGAGCTCTTTCAGGTTCGTAGATGTGAGGGGTGACAGTGGGCACGTGTTGTGTATTCGGAACCAAGGCTCCAGTGAGGTTGTGGATGCAACACGGGTGGACACTGACAGAAACACTTTGGGTTCATTATGCATTTGATTTTGCATTAAAGTTTGGGTGCTGAGCATTCAGAAACCTGTTACTGTTGTCAAATTCTTCATGGCCACCAGGTTCAGTTATACAACCCCATATGGGGTCTGGACGTGCAGTCTAAGAAGCGTTCCTCTAAATAATACAACTATTTACACGGCATCTGCATCTTTTTAGGTGTTAGAAGTAAGAGATGGTTGAAAGTACATGGGAGGACATGAGTGGTTGGATGCAAACACCACACCCTGAATATAAGAGATTTAGACTTCCATAGATTTTGTCATTGGTTGGGGGTGGGGGAGCCAATTTCCCAATGATACCAAGGAGTGACAGTATTTAATAATACCGACAACTCTTCATGTTGAGACAGAAGTGGCTTCTCACCGGAAGTCCTCGAGGCCAAGGAGGCTCATCTCTGGTCATGTCTTGGTAGAAATTCTGTAGTTGGTCTGGACAGTGCTGCCTTGTATCCCCCTTTGCTGGCCTGGTACCCACACTTGTGCTCAGAAGGTCTCCAAGCAGTACAGAAGCACCTGGGCCACAACTTCCTGTGGCGTGCATTAGGACTGAGCTTCTTGTTTCCTCCAGGAAGCCTATCAGGATTAGGCACCTTTGGGTTTAGTGACTGGGCACAACTGATGGGATGGGGAAGCTGATGGGAGCTTGATGCTCTCTCTGCTCCCCGAGGGAAGCCAGCACGGAGAAGGCAGATCTGTGGAGAAAGCAAAGTGTGTAGGCCTCAGATCACAGGACTCGTCCTTGGCTGTGGCAGGCCTGAAACCAGAGTACCCTCAATCTTTCTACTGTGGGAAAACAATCCGTCCTCTTGGGAGGCCAGCTGAAGTTGGTTTCTGTCACTTGCAACCACACTTCCTGATACAACTGTCACAAGTCTGTCCAGCTCTACACTCGCTCCCTGTTTGGGCATTATCAGGAAGTCATCAGTGAAGAGTTGGGCGTTTTCCTGCAGGTGGAAAGCTCTATCATAATGGAGAAGATCAGTAGCCCAGGGACATATGGATGACTGGGGTGACTCTTCCAGTGACCCAAGCCATACCATGCACTCTGTGCATGGCTTTCTGGCCTCTCTAGCTTCTTCCTCAGGCTCTGCACCATTTCCTGGTCATTTCCAGCAAGCATTGCATCCAAACTCCAGCTCCTGAGCAACTACTGTGTCCAGGCTGCATTTGGCCTGAAGCTAACTGGCTTATATCTGAGTAGGAAGGTTGGTCAACTACACAGGCATCAAAGGATATAGAATGAGGGGGGAGTTAGAAGGTGCTGAGAAAGAGAAATTTCTAGAAGAAAATTCTGAACACATTTCTGCAAGTGGGGGGAGTAGATACTGGGCAGATACTGGGCACGCTGTTGTCACAGCCTTTGCCTGGGTCACATCTATGCTCACAGTCTCCTCCCCTGTCTATCTGGGCTGCCTCTGGGACAGTGGTGGGCTCAGGAGTGAGGGAGGGTTGGGTGGGGGGAGTGGACAGCAGCTCCAGGCTTCAGGTACCTTTCTCACTCCTTAGGGTCTGTGAATTCAAATCCTCTTTCTAGAGCTTTCCATTTAGCATGTTTAAAGAACCCTGGGCCTGGCACCAGATAGGGACACCAGAAACACAGCAACTTCCTGCATCACATCCAATAAAAATCATGTAAGCTCAATCCCTCAAGCAAGGAAGACTACTCTGTTCTTTCCAAACTCAACCCAGTCCTGCTTTCCCTCCTTTGATGGGGGTGGGGAAGGGTATGTGGGGAGTGGGGGGGACTTGACCACAGTGAAGGACCTGAGGGTGATGTCCTCTCCCCTGACCCCTTTTCTGGTACAACTGACAATGGATGGCCCTCAACATATGACTCACATATCTAACAGGGGTGTCAGTAGATGTCAGATCATCTGCTACTCCAGTCTGTGGCCACACTAGAGTGTGCCAGAATGCTGCTCCTGACGCAGGTACAGGAACAGAGGTGCGTTGGACACCCTATGGCTCTTTTGGGGGATGGAGGCTTGGGTGTCTTCACCTCCCACTTAACCCTGCGCTTGCGCACGGCAGCGCTATATGCTCCCTGTATGGGAGCCCATGGTGCCTTAAAGTGGAGCTCACCCCACACTGGAGCTATGGGGCGGGACCTACAGGCCTCTCTCCCCTCTTCTTTAGTTCTGAACTGTCTACCCAGAAAACAGGTGCTCAACAAAGGCAAGAGGAGAAAACCCTTGGCCTTCTTCCCCATCTCCTGCGCTTCCCTAAGGCCACCCTAAGTGTGGAGGCAGCGGTTCCCCAAGAGAGGACCCCACCCCACAGTTTGTAGGGCGTCCCACGGGTTCGTCCCAGGGCCGCGCTGACCCAGCCCCTGCGAGGTGCCCAGATTGGAGCAGATGGCGTGGCCTGCACCAGCAAGTGGTCTCGCAGAAGACACCCAGCCCGCAGCATCCTCCAGCCTTCCCCGCCCCGCAGGAGCAAAACAAGAGCACGCGCACCTGCCCGCGGCCCGCCCACTCCGCGCCAGCCAATCCCGTGCCGGGGCGGGGCCGGGGCGCGCCCGAGCCTGGGCGCCGCTGGAGCCCGCGGAGCTTAGCGCCAGAGCCGGAGCGAGCGCAGCCTCGTCCCCGCAGCCTCGTCCCCGCAGCCTCGTCCCCGCCGCCGCCGCCTCCGCCCCCGGGGCATGGCCTGTCTGATGGCCGCTTTCTCGGTCGGCACCGCCATGGTGAGTGAGCGCATCCTTTGCGCGCGCACCCGGCTGGTTTTCTTTTGCAAAGGGAGCAGGAAGCACAGAGCCCGGCACGCGGGTCCTCCAGGCGCTGACCTAGGGCGTTCTGGAGAGGTACCCAGCTCCGATCACCTCCGCCCCGGCCACCTGGAGCCTCGGGATGCTCCCAGCGCCGGTGTAGCGGAGGCGGAGGAGGGAGAGAGGGAGGAGTGCGGGGCAGCGCGCATCCCAAGTGGACCAAATGGCCTTGACCGCGTCCGCCTCTGGGTGAGGGGCTTGGGGACTTGGGAGCGCGCTGAGCAGGGGCTGCAGGCTGGGCCCGAGGAAAGGGAGGTCGGATCTCCCTGCCGGCTCGCTCCCCTGCACTTGGCGGCGGAGTCTTCTTGAGCCACCCTGGGGAGCGCTGGGCACAGTCGGGAACAAAAGGAGATGTTCCCCAAGAAACCGAGCCTTGCTCTCCTGCGCTCCCCCCCCCGCCCGGGGACAGCTACTCGTGGAGGGGGTGACGGAGTCCCCAGGGAGACAGAGAATGGGGGACAGGGTGTGAGCATCTTACCTCCTACCCCCCGTCACCCCCCCGGTACCAGTCCTGGGGAAAGTCGGGGTGCTGCCAGATTCATTGCTAGACAGAAGAGCTGTTCTCTGTGGTGGTCAAGCGTCTCCTCTTGTGCGTTTACTTAGTACATCAGGGAAGAAGCGAACGTGTAACCAAATAACCACAGCCCGGCCACCCGCTGGGTGGTCTCTCCCTTGGCCCTACTACGCACCTCTGCCAAATACCCGGACATTGCGGTTGATGCCCGCCTAAACCGAGTGCAAGTTACCAGTCCTCCATATTCCACCCTGATGGGCCCTTGCTTTGCGGTCCGGCTCTGTTACTCTCCTGCGGGTTCCTTTCCATACGCTACAAGGCCACAGTGTACAGCACCCCACCCCTCCCCTTTATTTCATTTTTAGCATCCTGTATTCGAAGTCTGCAGGGCCCAGCAGGATTTGACCGACAGTTACCTCTTGCCTTGAGCTCAAGAGCGAGCGTGAGAGGGAAAAAAAAGCACTCGGTTTTGTGCGCATGCTCTGCTCTGACAACTGCATCCTATGATTCCAAACAGGTTACTGTAGAACATGCCGAGCCCAGCCAGGTCATTATATAATGATTCAGTGTAAACTGATAGGATGGGGTAAAGATGCGTGGAGGCTGTGGTTGGTAGGGGTGGGGTGAGGCGGGTAGGGAGACCCCCGCCCCCCCAGGCTGGCTTCCATCTTTGGAGTTGGGGTTTCTGAAACGTCGGAGGCAGGGAGTCACACTCCTTGCCTCAAGATACTGTTTCCTGGTTTTCTTTTTTTCCTAGTTGATGACTTGAGTAACATGGGGGAATTCTTGTGTGTTTATCCATCGACTGGAGGGTTCCTAAATTATGCTGGCAATGTAAAATTAAGATTATTGATGTTCGTTGCAGGAGGAGGACGTTTTCAGATCTTGGGGAGGTGGGTGGGCATGTGGAATTGTTTTAGAACTGCACAGGTGGCTTGTACATGTGGATCAATGAATCAGAATACTTAGGCTCCAGATTTTTATGCTAATTTTTTGTGTTATGGTTTGATATAGCCCAGAGCTCTGTTGTGGGTTCACAGACATCCTAATGGCTGAGCTCATTGTTTTCCAGAGAAATTTGTTTTATTTTAAAATCATTTTCTCCCTGGAAACTTGGAATTTTTGTTTAAATTTTAAAGTGTCTGTGTGTGGCCATACCATCCTGGATGCACTGATCTTGTCTGATCTTGGAAACCAAGTCAGGTCGGCCTGATTGGCACTAAGATGGGAAACCAACTGGGAATACCAGGTACTATGGGCTCAAAACCAAAACAAGCTTAAATTAAAACAAACAAACAACAGCATAAAAACTATCTTAGTTACAGCAAAGAGTCCTTGAGTCTCAGGACCCTGAGCCATTCTGTTTCTTCTCTGCCCTGGGGTCCTGCTGGTGCTAAGGAGCACAGAAAGGTGAGCAGAGCACCCAGGAGGGCCTCTGAGGTTGTGGGGACACAGGGCAGGCAAGTGCTCCCGATAGATGGTGGCATTTGGAGCTTTGTGGCATTGTGCATGGTCAGTCAGGTGTGGCCTGTCCTTCATGCGTAGCTCAGGGTACGACACCGGGCTACTTTCCTACAGACAGGTGTTGTGACTGTGGGTCAGCATGTTTTTCTCTGATGCCCCAGGACATCCTGAGGTGCCATCTAGGCAGGCACCCTAGATGACAGCATGAAAACCCAGTAAGTAGAGGGAGAACTGCGGGCCAACGCTCATGTAGTTCCCCAGGATGCTGAGAGACAGTCCCATGTCTGACCCTGCCTCCCACGAAAGGGGTCTCCCAGTTGCCTGAATGGGGCTTGCTGGTCTTTCCCAACCTTCCCCTGCTGCACAGGTGTCTCCTGACGCCCAGCGTCTATGCCCAGTTCACATGGCACCCTGCCACTGTGCATTCTGAGGCACAGACCCCAGGACTGGTTCCAACAGGCTCCCGTCTCATGCAACCCCCAGGAAGGAACTCACTGCAGTTACTATCTGTTCTGTTGGGCAGCACATTCCGTGAGGGGAGGGGGCAATGTCCAAGACAGGAAACAGAACATCAAGAGGGAAAAACAGAAGGGAATCAGTGTTTGCTTTATTTTTAATGAGCCCAGGAGGCTGAGACAGAGCTCAGGGTAACCTACATTTAGAGCTGGCAGCTCTATCTGAGGATGTGTTTCCAGAGAGCTGGTCTATTTTGGAGTGACAGGCCACTGCCTCATCACCCAGGTTTCTGTGATTTTGTTAATTGGGTGAGGCCACTGGACACCGGTGGAGGAAGGGTGGGCTCGCACTCATTGCTGAGGGGGGATGGGAGGAGAGAAGCTGCATGAGTTCCTGTTTGCTGTGGATTCTCCTTTAACAGATGACTCTGAGGCAGCCCACATTGCATATAGTGAGCTACGGAATTCTTAAATGGTGGGTAGGAGAAAACCAACTCAGACTTGGAATCCCCACGAAGCTGGACCCCTGCCTGGCCACCCCTTCATCAAGAGGGTCCTGAGCCAGACAGATGACCTTCCTACTTTCCTTCCCTCCTCTGAACAGGAGCTGGTAGCCTCCCTCTCACTGCCAGAGCTGACCATAGGCTGCAAGCTGGATGTGCTGGGCACGTTGTTACTGAATCTTAGTCACTGTTGTTTACAGTCACTTGCTGCCCTTGCACCCACACACGTGTTCTCAAATACTTAACATCCTAAGTAGCTGACTCTGGCTTCTCCCTCCCTCCCAACTCAGTTTAGTCACCCAGCTTGGTCTACTGGCTGGTGTCATCCTCTCCAACCCCGTTACCACCTGCCGATTAAGCTCTTCCACCCCCAGCTCTGCAGGGTGACTGCTACGTTCTGAACTCCTTAGCCTGCCACTCCAGGCTTGGGGTACTTCCCTGGCTCCCCACTGACCCTCAAGTCTCTTACCAAAGTTTGCCCCTCAAGTCACAACTATGTCAAAGTCTCCTGCCTCCTGCCTACCTTCCCCACCCTGCACCCCAACCCACATTCCAGCTGCTGATTCTGCTGAGGGCCTCTCTGAATGTCCCACTCTCCTGCTGTAGACCCAGGCCCTTGCACCTCAAGTTCCTCTGCAGGGAGCACCGTGCACAAGCCCCTGCCTCTATCCCACCTTGCTAATCTCAGCCGAGCCTATTTCTGCAGACAGACTCTTTTGAACCCCCACCCCAGGGTCCGGTCTGTGTCAGATGGGTCTCCATGCCCTTTGCTCCCAACCTGGTGTGAATGCTGCATTCTGTCCTGGGCTCAGTCTTAAACTTGTGCTTGCTGAGGCCAGAAGCCGTGTCTGTTTGTCTGGCCGACTGGTGTTCAGTTTATCAAGGAAATGGATGAGTGCTTAGATAGGCTTGGAGTCAGGGGGAAGCAGTAGACCTGCTGTCTGATATCTGCTAGGACCAGTGGATAGATGGGAGATGACTGTTCATCCCCTTGTTCCAGTGGGTTTCAGCAGGGAGGTTTCAGCCTCAGGTTAGACAGCTGTGGTGGGTGCCATCTGGGAGGAAAGATGATCCACAGTAGCTGGAAACTGAGGTGGGGAGGTCAGGGGGCCACGAGGGCGAAGGGCTGCCCACATCGCCAACTCCCATGTGCCCAGGGTTGGAGCCAAGCAGTCCTGACTTTCTGCCCACATGGCAAGGTGGGCTAAGGACCCTGCCTCGGGCACCTTGCTCTCTTCCTCAACACTCCACCTCTAAAAACCCCCTCTGGAGCCCACAGGGTTGTGACCTCTCCACTGTCATTGCCGTAGCCTAAGTGCAGGTGATGAGCAGAGGCAAGGCCTCTGTGCCTCCTGGGTGGACTCTGGTTTGCATGGGTACGTTCCTGCAGGGCCATTGTTATGACAGAGTCCTGTGACCCCTTCAAGAGGTGCAGTGCAGAAGGCACCTGACAAGTAGACACAGAGGCTACCTGTGGAGGAGCACCTCACTGGGATCCTCCGGTCTCAATGTCTCGAGCATAGGTACCAGTCTGAGCATGTGGGAACCTATGTGTGTTGGCACTGGCCAGGGCATGGTCTATACCAGCTGCACTCCAAGCTGGATTCCAGGAATTCCCCTCTGCATCTTCATTTTCACGCGCGCTAGGAGAGTCAATGGTAAGATTTGATTTGGTGAGGGTTTTCAGAGGTAGGAGCTGCCTATGAGGGAGCGTATGTATTTGTATATTCACATGTTCTTATCTCAAGCACAAAGTTCCAGTTTCTACCACTGAGAGATTTAGAGTCCCAAGGCCTGCTTCCCCCTTTCCCATTTGTGTTCAAGGCAGTATGCTTTGAACTCGCAGATGCCACAGTGGCACTGGGGGAACTTGAATTGCTGGGCTTGTAAAGATTTCCGTTGGATCGCTTGTTTTGCCTTGCAGTAGAATCTCACATTTTCCAGGCTGGCCTTGAACTTGCTATGTAGCTGAGAATGATGTTGAACTTCCGATCCTCCTTCCTCCACCTCCCAAAGGCTGGGGTTACAAGTGCCGGTCACTACACCAAGCTTACGTGGAGCTGGTGATCAAACCCAGGGATGTGTGCATACTAGGTAAGCATTCTACCAACAGAGCCACACCCTCGTGGAACTTTTTATGGACAATACATTCTGCTTTTATTTTGTGTTTTTGATAAGAAATAACAACAATAAATAGCAACCAATGCTAAAGAAATAGTTAGCAAACTTACGGAAAAGGAACAGGATGTGTTTCCTCCCTAGAACAGAGGACAGCTGCAGTGCCTGATCAGTCCTGGGACAGTTGTGACCAGATGTAGTGAGGGGCAGTCTCCCCCCATGAGGCACATTAGCAGCCTGACTGAGCCCACAGAAGACCCATGTTTTTGGCACTGTGGGATATTCTCTTTGCTTCAGGAGACAGCTAGAAAAACTTCAGCATAATTTGCCCCCTCAGGGCTCTGCTGTGTTTTGAGATTCCTGAAGCATATTGATTGGGCCAGGGCTGCCAAGCCATTAGAAAAGCATACCCCTTGCTTTGCACAAATACTTTTGGGTCTTGGCCCATCCGCTACAGTGCATTTGATTCCTTATGGAAGGCTTAAAAGCTAAAGCTATGGGCTTAGGCTATAACTCAGCCATGGAGTGCTTGCCTAGTGTGCACAAGGCCCAGGGCCCCATCTCTAGCCCTAGCAATGCTAGCTACTGCCCGCCCTGTGATGCAGGGAATGCCTCCCTGGGTTTCTGTGGCTCACGTGTGGAGCTCCCCCCTTAGCTGTGGCACACAGAACAGATTCCTTACCTGTCTGCGCCTCAGTTTCCTTCCCTGTATAATAGTAAATAAGTAAGGAGCATTCCAACCCTCCAGTGTTATTGCAAAGATACAGTGAGTTCTAGCTACAGGGATCTGGAAAGTGGCTGTAAAATGTGAAGATCTGCCCCACAGACCAGCAGCTCAGTTAGGACTGCTGCTCCTGAGATGCTGTTAAGAGATCACACAAGACATGCACTAGAGTAGATGATTTTAAACAGACTGCTTTCAATTTTAGGTTTCTTAGGAGCCTCATGTGTCTTTGTTGGGGTTTTTAATTTTTCGTTTATTTATTTATTTTACGTGTACAAGTATTTTGCCTCCATGTATGTAAGTGCACCCAGGTGTGCAGTGCCCAGGGAGGCCAGAAGAGGGTGTTGGATCCCCTGGAACTGGAGTTACAGACAGTTGTTAGCTGCCATCTGGGCGCTGGGAACCAAACCAAGATCCCTGGCAAGAGCAACCAGCTCTTAACCCCCGAGTTTCCTCTCCAGCCCTTCCGCTGAGCTTTTTATGAGTGAATAGAAAGCTTTCCGGGTGGCCAGTCTCTTCTTTATAGAGGCAAGTGATTCACTTATGGTTAGATTTTGTAATTCCAAAATAAGACCTGTCGACGCATCTTATCCTGGGTATCATTTCATTAGAAGCAAAGGTAATAGCTAGCTGAGACATTCCAGCAGGTGGCCTTCCTGCCCTCTGTGGCCAGAGGCACTCGGGCAGCGTAGATGGTATTGCTGTGACTAGCCCATGACCCTGAGCCCAATGCAAGCCTTGGTGTTCTTTCTGTCCAAGGGGCACATAGCACATCTTGTTGCTTCCACCTCATTTTCTAGAATGCCAGCAGTTACTCTGCGGCGATGACGGAGCCCAAGTCAGTGTGCGTGTCGGTGGATGAGGTCGTGTCCAGCAATGTGGACGACGCTGAAACGGACCTGCTGAACGGGCACCTGAGGAAAGTGGACAACAGCTTCACAGAGGCCCAGCGCTTTTCATCCTTGCCTCGGAGGGCAGCTGTGAACATCGAATTCAAGGACCTCTCCTACTCCGTTCCCGAGGGACCCTGGTGGAGGAAGAAAGGTAGGGAGGGTCTGTGGCATTGGTGGCTGATCTGGGCGGAGCCTGTGAGGGAGCCACGGGGTGTTTGGGGGAGAATCTGAGTCTGAGGGTCGGAAAAGGTTGAGATTCTGTTCTGGTGCGGTCCTACCTTGGCTACTGTCATTGCTTTATGCCTGACTTATCTCCCGTGAAATGCACAGGTTGGATTAGGCAATCTCAGAGTTTACAATGGCTCTAAATTCCACAATATTGACCAGGTTGGATAGCCACTATTGGAAATGTTTAGGACCAGAAGTAGTTCTTCTATGGATACTTTTTGGATTTTGTAATATTTGCATGTGCATAATGAGATACCTCAAGGCTAGAACTAAAATGGAATTATGACAGTTCATCTTGGTTTCATGGACACATTAGGACATACACAGCTGAAGGTCACATGGAAATTTCCACGTGTGGTACTCAGAAAGTTGAGAGTTTGGAGCATCTTGGGTTCCCAGTTTGGGGGTTTGGATAGGGAGTTTCACAGAGTGGCCTGGTGTCAGAGTTGGTTTGTTTCCAGAATGTGGACCGAGGGTCCTTTCTAGTGGAGGCTATTAGTTTATGCCAGTCTTTGAAAGATGGAATAGTTTTTCATTCATACAGAGACGCCTCATTTATTCAAAAGCAGCCTGGAGTCTGGTGTGGCTTCTCTGAGAACCAATTCTTCTTATTTGAGGATCTTAGAATGACTCTTCAATGTGCGGTGTTGGTGGATATAGAGAAGAAAACCCAGCCTGTTATAAGGTGATCTGTGCCCATAAAAATGGAAGAAATGGGAGGACGGGGGTGGGGTTCCCTGGAGTACCCCGTGATGCAGAACCTTGCCACATGCTAGGCTAGTTGTAGGCTTCCCGAGGTTGGAGTGCTTACACCTTCATGACTGAATCTGCTTTTAGAAGGTGGGAAACTGGGGAGCAGTCCAGGCAGTATCTGGTGTCTGTCAACTCACTGAACCACGTTGGAAATGGGGACAGCCAAAGTAACTTAGACACTTCTGATTTGGGGGAGACTCTCAGACATTAACACAACTCTTTTCTTTTTAAGAAAGAAGCAAATCTCTGTTTTTATTTTCCACATTTCCCTCTTCTCTTTGCTTTGTTTTTCTGCCTCCTGAAGCTAAGCCTGTGCGATTGTCTGGCTTTGGTGGTAAACAAAATTTTGGAAACTTGATAGGGCAATAGCTGGGACCTCTGAGCCCAATGGTTGTTGTGTGATTATGTCTGTGTTTGCACAACCAGGAACAGGTCCTGTCCCCTCTCAAGGACCAATTGTGCTGCACTGTTATCTGATACTTGTGTTTCCAGATGCCAGCCTGTTTTGTTAAGAAAGAAACTGCACCAGGCCCAGCATTGGGGCCATTCTGTGGAGGCTGCTGGAAATGCAGGGTATATAGCCTTTTACCTAGAAGGAAGATTTTACAGAGAAATGTACCGCAGGGGCCTCAGTGGTTGATGTGGATGAATTGTGGCAGACCAGGAGAGGCACAGAGTCATTTCTGTGGATCTGCTGTGTGTGGCCTTCAAGGTGCCATTGTGGGGGGTGAGAGCCCATGCTGGAGGGTGACCATGGCTTACCAGGAAGAAGTACAGATGTTTGAAACCCCTGTGTTACTTACTTTCCACATTACTGTAACAAAATACCTGATGGAAGTAACTCAAAGGAGGAAAGGTTTGTTCTGGGTCACAGTTCTAGGAGGCAGCCCATGTAGTGGGGAAGGTAGGGTAGCCGAGCCTGAGGCAGCGGCTCACAGCATCTGCAGTCAGGAAGCAGAGAAAGATGAACGCTGGTGCTGAGCTAGCTTTTCTTTTTCATGCAGTCCAGGACCCATCCGCATTTAGGGGGGGATCTTCCCACCTCAGTGAATCTAATCTAGGTAATCCCTCACAGACAGGCAGGTAGATCTGTTTCCATGGTGATTCTAAATCCCATCAAGATGACAAGATAAACCAACTCACCCCGGCAGCATCTTGACTTGAAACCTAGCACATAAAGCCAGGTCCAGGAGGTGCAGCCGGCTATGTGCTGTGCCCACCCCATGTTCTGTGGGTAGTAAACAGGTCACATTCACCATCATAGTCAGTGAACAAGTGATGGATTCTTTGCAAGGCTGGGACACAAGTGTCCATTCTCAGTGGCCCTCATGGAAGTTCAACCAGGTGGCAACTTGCCCTGTAGTAACCTCCATGGGTTCAGGCATGGGAGGAGTCGGAAGTCAGCCCTGCAGGACTTGCCCATGAGTCAGAGATGATAAAGATAGAGAGAATGACAGACACGATTTGTCTGGTGTGCTCTAGTTGGTTTCCCAGCCAGTGGGGTGTGGTTTTGCTGCCTGACTTCCTCCTTGGCTTTCCTTCTCCTCCTCGGCAGCAGCATTTCTGGGCACCCTCCCTCCTGTGTGCCTAGTTCTTCTGCTTGTTCCAAAGACCCACAATTCAGAATAGAGATGGTTTATCACTTCTGTATGAACCTAAAGATGGAAAGAATTACCCACCTTTTCCTAACAGAGTAGAGGAGAAACTGGCTAGAAGTGGCTAAGGGGCTTATTCATGCTCCTGATCTAGGGAGAGGTTGGCCTGGGTTCAGGGCCATGATTTCCCACTCTGTGCACCCAACATGGTGGCCAGACCTTGCCCAGGGTGGAGCCATGTGGGTCAGGTTCACACACCAGCAGGGAAACAGGGCTCTTCCTGGAGGCTCAGGTGCCTCTGGGAGCGGCTGGGTGGCTCAGTGGCTCAGGAGGCTGCAGGCTACAGCGGGGACACCCAGAGTTCTCATTGAATGGCGTGAACTGTGGACACCCCTCCCCTCTAACTTCTCTCCCATCACCAGCATGCTCCAGAGTGCTACCTTCCGCTGGCTCTGAACTTGACGATGCTATTTCCCCAGCTCAGAGCCACTACAATAAAGGATGGGGAATATAGTATTCATCAAACCTGGACCAGGGTTTGACGAACTGTCAGGGAGGGACTAGCTGGGTACAGCACGACCCCTCTGGGTCTCCTTGTACCCCATCCCCATGCCCGCTCCTGCCTCTTCTCCTGAGTGTCTACAACCTCTGTCCCCTTCGTGCCCCTTGTGGGTCTGTCCTTTTCTGTTTTTATTTCTCCACGGCTGGTGACCCAACAGGCCCCAGCAGTGAGTGTCAAAGCTGAGAGGCCACATGCCACCACACTCCGAATTTCTCCCTCTTCACCGTGGTGATGTTGGATCTGGCATCCTCTGTGCATGGCTCCAAGGTGACCTTCAGCACAGAGACGACTTCTCGTATACTGCCACCTGATCAGTTTGCTGTCTGTATCGAGCTGATTGGCTTTGGGCTTTAAAATTCAGCCTGATGTTCTGAGCTGACCGTAACGGTCACTTCGGGGCTGGCTGCCATGCACTACTGGGGGGAAGAGTCCCCACCTGTAAGAGTGAGGCGTTTCGAGAGCACCTGGCCTAGGCAACTGGGGGCAAGAAGCGATTTGCTGAGTCAGAGCCCGTGCCCAGACCCAGCGGTTCTCATCCATCACTGAGATGCTGGACCACTCTGTAGATCCCAGGGAGGCTGCTTCCGCCCATGAGGTCTCCCAGAATGTGGTCCACCACACACACTCAACAGGGAACACCCCCCAAGCTGCCTTCTGGCAGCAGTAACACTAGAAATGCTTACACTGTCATCTTAAAGAAATCAAGCAGAATTCGCCCTGCTTAGCGGAAAGGGAATGGAGGGGTGAGGGGTGGGCAGTAGCCGCTTTGGGAGATGCCAGGCTGGCGCTCTAACCTTTGAGCTTGGGGACTGCCCACAGCCAACAGTGGCGGCTAACCAAACATCTCCTGTTTTCAATTGTACTTGTGTTTTCACCATATGATTAATGATGTCTTCGGAGGAAAAGCTAGATCATGTAATAGATTCCTGGTAGAGAATATAATTGTGAAAGAAGCTGGTCTCGGGAGGAAAAGACGCACCCCGAGGGGCATCCCACCGGCTTCTGATCTGGTAATTACTCTCCCTCAAGGAGCACACTCACGTAGTGTGAGCTGATGGGACAAATGACTTGGAACAATCTCACCCTCAGTGCCGTCACAGGGCACCTGTGGCAGGGGACAGACGGGAGCAGCCTCATCCATTCTTTCCCTCAGAGTATGACTCTGGAAATGCGTTTGGCCTTCTTGTAAGGAAGCATCGCTAAGGACCCTGGGAAAAGAGGATCTACTTGACAAAACTCCCAGAAGATGACAGTGATGAGTGTTTATGCCACCCAGGCAGCCGTGTCGTCCATCTCTAGGAGAGGTTGGTCACCTGTAACAGATGGAATGGGTGCTGTATACCGTCCCCTCCCCAAGTGCATCTGAATGATTGTTTCCTGCGTTACCGGCTACTTGAGAGCACTTCATCAGTTTGCTTGACTCACAGGGATGATTCTGGAGGGATTCCGCTCTACCCATCCCAAGGTCATAGCGGTAGGGAAGACCAACTTGAAATCAGGTCTGTGGAATTCCAAACCAAAATCAATTACCCACAAAGAACCTTGTAAGTGCTTAGACCCGAGGGGGAACTTGCCATGAATGAAGTCAGTTCAGCTGGATGTGTTTCCCTTCTCATGGGCCTGTTTGGATGCACCATTTATAAGGGCATGTGGAGGGCTTAGTGAGTCATCCCCTTCTGGAAGGATGCTGCTGTTCTGTCTTGCCAGTGAAAGGGGCTGATGGGACAGAATTCTTTTCTCCCTCACTGATGAGATTTCTCAGAGAATTTAGATGTAACTGCAGATTCGATGAGGTTGAGGTTGGGAACAAACGTGCGGACACCTGGGGCTTTGGCGCACCGTCTTTACTTGCTGTCCTTCAGCTAGGCCAGGCCACATCACCACATGCCATGGCAGCAGGAAGGAATTAAGCAGTCTGGGCAGCTACAAGTTCAATTACGAGTATTGGTTTGCTATAAAATGCTTTTGAACACCCTTCTCAAATTGTTTGCTTTCTCTTAATTTCCATAACTG